TGTTTACTAGACTCCCCCATCACCAAGTCCCCCCCACAAACCCCATTACAGTCACTGTCCATCAGCATAGTGAGATGCTGTAGTCACTACTTGTCTTCTCTGTGTTGCACAGCGGGCATTCACTTTGTCCAAACTCTGGCGCTAGGCAGTGTCATATCTATCGAAACTTTCAAATCTGGGTGAGTTATTTCCCTACGTTTAGGAGGTTTCCAGCCACATGGGAATCTTTAACGACTTGGGCTTTAGTCATGCTGCTTAGATCATGAGTCACCAATGGTGAGTGCTGCTGGAACTAGCAGCGTATTTTGATATGGTACGTCAGTCTTTTTTGTGAGCAGTGGTAGCTGATCTTATTTAAGATGTGTATGAAAAAGGTTTGTACGTATCTATAGGCTAAGCAATGTCTGCTTATTCACAGCTTGGGAGATTCTGTGTGTGCTCTGCCACGCTCACATCTCTCATGAGTGCGCACTGCGCACACACACATATATACTAAAGCCCAGCGACCCAGTGACGTTCCAGTCAACTCCCTGTGTGTGTCTGTGAGGCAGCGTTACCAGTGTCCAGCTAGCGACAGCTGAGGGGCTCTGTAAACTACTCTCAACTTTTTTGGAATTTGTGTCCCTTCTTATACTATGCTTAAAAGTAGATTTCTGTGACTTTCAAACTTTTTCCATAATACGAGGCCTTCTAAACCCAGCTGGGAAAAAGATTAGAAGAGATGGGAAGTAACCAATATTTTGCTGCAGGGATTTTTTGAAGTGAGAAGAGGGGGGTTGTGAGTGTGTATGTACACGTGGGGGTATGTGGAGGGGGTGTTTAGGGTGTGTTTGTGGGGGGCGTGTAGTGGGTGTAGGGGGTGTGTATGTGTGTGTGTGTGTGTGTATGTGTGTAAGGGTGTGAGAGAACACGTTGCAGTGAAAGCCACTGTGTGCATATCATGCATCAGGGCAGGAAAATGATGTAGGAATTATTTCATGTGTAAACAACTACGGACACTTTTGTAAAACCCAGGCCACTCTTTCATGTTGCCCCCTGAAGGAAGGCAAAGATCGTGAAGTGGCCCGGGCGGATTTCAGCTGTGCGCCGCCCCCACTGCGCCCTCGCCCTCCGGCGGGGTGAGCTGAGCCCCGTCTGTGCAGAACGGCTGTGGTTGTTTTGGGATGCGCTGCCTTCGGGAGGAAGTCTCCCCTCCCTCCCCCCTCCATTGCATTATTCTCGTTTCCAGTGCCTGAGGGGCGGCAGGGACAGAGCCCTGCACCACTCCTGGCAGGGAAGTGTGTCATGAGTGAAAGGTGAGAGGTCCGTGTGCTCCGCCAGAGGCCTGCGGTTGGCCAAGCATGAGGCATTGCTTTTTTGGTGTTTTTCTACTTGGAGAAAGTTTAAAGAAATTCTTTATACCTGAAGTTAAGCGTTTGCCCAGTTTCTGATTCCTGTGTCAGGTTATCAAACCTCAGAGTTGGGCTCCAAGCACACCATGCAGAGAAGACAGGCAGGTGTGTCTCGCACACCAGGCCTCCCTTTGTCACACAAGCTGCTTGCGACCACACACTGCCTTGGCTGCCAACGCTTCACATGCCCCCTGAAGGTGCGGTGGGAGGCCGGACCCTGCTGGAGCTCCTGCTGAGTGTCGTGTGTGAGGCGCTCCAGAGCCGGGCTGCATCTAGGGCTGCCTTACACGTTCCTCTTTCTGAACATGTGGTCTCTCCCTGTCGGGTCCGGGTTCTGTGTCTGCAGATCAGAATTCTCCCAGAGAGGCTCTTCATGGCACCGGGAGAGAGGACCTCGCCAAAGGGATTCTCCTAAGCTGAACTTGGAGTGTATATACACTGAGTCTGAGAGCCACTGAAGATGACACAGTGTGTCTAAGAGTGTCCCTTCAAGTTCTGGACAGTTGACACCAGTGGGCATCCAGCCCGAGGTTCAGTGTCGATGCCTGTTTGTTAATTGGTGGGTGTCTGGCCAGTGGGTTCCAGCCCCGGACAAGTCCACTATGGATTCAGGGAGACCGAGATATGGCAATAGAATGTTCTTGGGGTGAAAGCGTTTATACCCAACTGCATTCCCACCATGGCAGGTCAGTCACTAGAATCCCGTCCACTCGGAGTGAGTCTGCGTGCAGCAGGCCAGTCTCTGCCTCTGGGCCTCTCCGCCCCTGCATCCTTCTTAGTCTCTGTCCTTGGCGCTGCCACCACTCCAGTCTCTGCTCTCCTGCAAGGGCAGCCATGCCACTGTGTCGCTCAGAGCACTGGGCAGCGCTCTTTATTTATAGAGCCTATGACAACATGTTGCCCACACATGTGTAGTGAGCAAGCCAACCAGGGCCAGGTGAGAACCCCGGCCACAGGAACCTTCACTGCATCCACACTCCACCCCTCCAGGATTCTCGCCTCGCCGTCTGTGTGCCCTGAATCCTCTGCAGTGGTCCTTGTGCGAGGAAGCTGGAACACTGTAACCAAGTTCCATAATAACATAATACAGAACACAAATAACAGATTACAACAAATAATAACCCTCAAGCCGGAGGAGATCCATTGCCACCAAGTGGTCATCCTGGCTGAATTCAAACCAGTTCTCAGGTGAGTTAACCAAAAGGACCATGGGTGGGCCTTACAATGCCCACCTTCTCCAGCAGGAAGTCCTGCAGGCACTCACGCCCATCTTGTTGCTTTGTCTATTGCTTCTGCTTTGGCCTTAGCAGCCCGAACCACTGTCCTGATCTCCATTGTTGCCACAGCGCCAGTAAGATTCTGTTTGACATCCCATCCAATTTCCCTCTGTCGGCTCCTGCCTTTATCAGGCCAGCCCACATCTGGGTCCTCGTGACCTTCACGGGGCCCTTTAAATTCTTCCTCCGAGTAGACGGTATTTTCTTCTGTGCTTTCACTGCTTGAGTCTGAGGCTAGAAGCAGAGCACGGAGCGCTCCCCGACCTGGGCGGGGGCTGCACCCCTCCTGGAGGAACCCGCGGTGGCCGGGTCTTTATTTTCTTCTGGGCTTTCCACCGACTTTCAGCTGGTGGGGTTTCCACCAAGGAGGGGCCGGTGCCTCTGACACCCGCAGGGCCTCCACCCTGACCTGTTCTTCAGACCCCTGCTCCTCCATTTCTGGGGCTGACGGCTCCGCTGCGTCCTCCACCTGCCCCTTGCGCCTGGCGGCCTGCGCTCGGGCCTCTGCCTCTCGGGCACCACGACATCCCTTAGCGTTTCCACGGCGCCTCTTAGTGACGCCATTTCAGCCACTAACAAATTTTCTCCCTCTTCAGGGGCGCCTCGCGGCTCACGTGCTTGCGCTGCCTCTCCTCTTCCTTCCCGCGGGGGGGCGTCTCTCTCCCTTATGGGCTCTCTTAGGACTGTGAGAAAAAGACTCCCCACTGTTCCCGCCTCATGGGCGCTTGGTTTCTCTAAGGAATTCCCTAATTTGCTAAGGGCCACCTACTGCCTCGGGTGTCACCTCCACCCCTTCCCAGCCTTGGGGTGGGGCCCAGTCCTCTAGGAGGCAGACCACGTCGGACCGCATGTGCACCGGGGGACACTCGGATGTCTCCCCATCCATGGGTGCATCCCGTGGAAACACTCCTCCCAGGAGGGCAGCCTGTTCTGTTCCTGGGCCAACAGTGAATCCTGCCCATTGTCGCCAATTATCTTGCCAGTGGGTTCAAGCCCTGGACAAGTTCACTATGGATTCAGTGAGACCGAGGAATGACAGTGGAACGTTCTTGGGGTGAAAGGCTTATACACAACTTAATTCCTATGGTGGCAGGTCAGTCCCTAGAATCCTGTCCACTCAGAGCGAGTCTGCATGCAGCAGGCCAGTCCCTGCCTCTGGCCCTCTCTGCCCCTACACAGCCGTCCTCTGGGCCTCTGTCCTCGGTGCTGCCACCACTCCAGTCTCTGCTCTCCTGAGTCTCTGCTCTCCTGCAGCTGTGCAGTAGCCCAGAGCACTGGGCGGAGCTCTTTATTATATAGAGTCAGTAATGATGCATTGCCCACACGTGTGTAGTGAGCAAGCCGACCAGGGCCAGGTGAGAACCCCAGCCGTAAGAACCTTCACTTTATCCACAGTCGGCTGGCTTTTCATGGACCGCCACCTGTCCTTCCGGCCATCTCCAAACTTGCTGGGCAGGTTTTGTCTGCTCCCTCATTGCCCTGGGCCCCTGTGGTGGCCAGAGTTCTTGAACCTCATCTCCCGAGGAGCAGAGTGGGGGGGGATGAGGCTTAGTGCCGTCACCGTGCCTGAGCTCGGGCAGCCACCACGATACAGCAGTCTGGGGCGTCCACGGCGGGTGGCTCCTCGGGCCGAGGCTGCAGCAGGTGCTGGTGGGGCCAGGCCCTTCCTGGCCTTGTCCTTGTGTCGCTGTCCTCGGTGCCCAGAGAGCCTGTGACTCCCGCTCCTCTTGGAGGGGCACTGATCTTGTCTCGGGGGTCCACCCTCTTGATCTCCTCTGACCTCAGCCACTCCCGAACCCTACCTTGTTAGGGGCTGGGGCTTCGACGGAGGAATCCGGGGTGGGGGGACCACTGTCCACCCTAGCCACCGCCTGTCCCCAGAAGGGACTGGGACACTGCGGCTGAGCTCTGTGGTGGGCGGGAAGTAAAGGGGGTTTGGGAGGAAAGGACTGGCCGCCTTTTGACCACAGGAGAATCCGGCTGGCTCACCTCCACAGGGCCTACCTCAGATGCAGGCCGAAGCTGGGAGCAGCTGTTCGCAGGGGGGCCTGGCCGGGGGGCCGAGGGGCCCTGAGCGCTGCTCATTCTCCCCCAGCTTTGCTGCTGGGAACAAGCTGCCTCATTCTGTCAGTCAGGTGCCCGACATGGGCACGTCTGAGGGCAGTCTCCTGCAGACATGCTGGCACAGCTGTCATGCTGTGCCCTCAGCACGTGCGCACACCGGAAGGTGACTGATGACACGGGGATGCACGGAAAGGAGTGCAGACCCGGCCGCCGTGCAGCCACTGGGGACTGGCACCTGCGCTCATGGCGGCCTGCTCTGTGTCTGCAGGTGCTGCAGGGAGCCCAGCTCATAGCCGTCGCCTCTTCAGACGCTGCCACCGCCGGGGTGGATGGGTCGCCGCTCCAGGGCAGTGACATCCAGGTCCAGTATGTGCAGCTGGCTCCAGTGACCGACCACAGCGCCGCAGCTCAGGTGGGTTCTCCCCTTCCGCGGGTGTGGGCGCCGTCCAGGTATTTCCGCTTCTGATGCTGCCCAGGAGGAAGGTAAATTACCACCAGAAGGTGCACCATCTGGACACAGACACTCATTTGGGGTCATATTTTTTATAAGTGTCTGAAGATGTGAAGTCAGAAGCTAGTTCCTGGCCACGGGCTAATCTCAGGTGGATTCTGGAGATAGTCTGTCTTGTGCAAATGCTTGTCCGTAGATTCAGAGGGATAATATGGTTCTGCCCTGTCCCCCTTCTGCAGACTGGCTCCTGGGCTCTGGAGCCAGCAGGTCCCAGTTCACCTGAGCCCTTGCTGCTCTGGTTGGGGCAGGACCTGACCCAGCCCAGCACCTCTGCAGGCCGCCGGCTTCTGGTGTGGCCATTTTCCCAGGGCAGGTCGGTGGGCACTGGCCTTGGAGCAGCTCCTCCCTCTGTGGTGGACATGCAGGCTGGCTTCTCATGGCTGCAGTGTTTGCATGAGGCCCTGAGGTCACCATCTGGCCAGGTTTCCGCCTTCCCGCTGGGTGCTCAGCACATCAGCTGGCAGCCTTGCCGGGAGCCCTTCGTTCACCATGCGCTTGTCCAGCACATGCCAGCCCCACGGGAGCTGCTCACCGTCTGGTTGTGCTGGCCACACTGCTCTATGCTTCTCATCCCCGGTGCTTTACGGAAGCTCTGGGAGCTCCTGAGGTGCCAGACCAGAGGGTGCTGCCCCACGTGCTCGCAGCGTCCCAGAGCAGCCCCACAGGCGGTGCCTTGGTCCAAGGAGCGCTATGGCCTCTCTCTCCAGAGCCCCCGGGTCTGGGGAGCCCCCTGAGTCTGGGGAGCCAGGCCTGGGCCCCCGGGGTTGGGGTGGGGAGCCAGCTGGGGGAGACAGCATGATGGGGCTCCGTGTGCGGGCTGATTGTGTTCAGAACAGCCGTCCTGAAGTCAGGGTATGTTCCTGCTCTTATGAGAGTCACCACAGGATCCCAAGGCGCAGTGGCCCATCGGAACCGAGGGCAGGGCTGCCGGCTCCTTGAGGGACACACACGTGTCTCCACCCTTAAACCTCATGGGCTGTAGGTTAAATCACTGGCCTCACTGCTGGGACCCAGGCGAGAGCCGTTGTGTGGCAGGTTTACTTGCTCTGACCGCGGTGAGCTCCTGCCCTGCCTCCCAGCGTCCTCTGCCGGCCTCTGGGTCTGTCCCGCCTTCGCCAGGCTCAGCGCTGAGGAGCCACGTGCATCGCAATGCTATTGGTCTTTGGTGCTCCGTCCAGCAGAGCTGCGGGTTGATCGCGGCAGAACGCTGAGAGTGAATCACTCAAGCACTGTTCATTAAGCCCAATAAGCGAAACAGAGAAACTGCTTCAGAGAAAGCCTAAGCTTAGTGGGTGGAATGAGAGAACAAGAAACACAGGCAACACAGACAGACAGACCATGGCTGCAGCCCCGATGTGGCGCAGTACCTTTGTTTTCATACTGCCTCTCTCGGACCTCAGCCAAGCGCTGTACTCATCTTTCCCTTCTCTGGGGGGCAGGCCAGAAGCAGGGGCGGTGTTTTCACACGTCCTCAAGGCCTCCCTGTTCTCAGAGTGAGGAGTCTTGGCTCGTCTTCGAGGACAGGATATGTTTCTGTGGGCAGAGAGCTTCCGAGGGCGGCACCGGCCGCCCCCAGGCCGGTGCTCCCCTGCTGCGCTCAGACCTGGGGAAGGTGCTTCCCATTCTGCCTGCGAACATGCGAGAAGACAAAGGCCGCCCCCAGCACTTCGGCACTTAGACTTAAGGCCCCAGACTCCCAGGCAGGGCCTCTCCCCTCACCCTGTGGGTGCTGTGCCGGCGTCCTGTCACCCTGGGGAGGAAAGGGTGGGCACCGCGGTGCCCGGGGTGTCTGGCTGCAGCTCTTGGTCTTCTTTCTCCTTGTCTTTCTGCAGGCGGCTCTGCCACCTCCTGCCTGGGGCGTGGGTCTGGCTGCCAAATTTTGAGGACAAGGGAGAGGGACTGAGGGGGGTCCCTGTCAGAACATGGGTCTCCCCGCATCCCTGGCCCGGCCCACCTCAGCCCCCATCACGGTCACACATGCCTGGGTCCCAGTGTTTCAAGAGGAGGGGCCCTTGGTCCTGGGAGTGCCCACCAGCCACCCGTGACCCACCCACCCTGCACGGCCCTGCCCTCCCAGCACTGTCTAGGCCACCCCTGCTTCCAGAAGCTCGAGGGGAGCCCCTCCAGTCTGTGTCACAGGTCCAGACCTTTCTTGGCACTCCTGCGTGGCTGCCAACCTGGGCTCTGGACAGTGCGGTGCTCCTGGTGCAGTGCTGGGCATCATGTGACATGGGTATTTCAGAAGTGCAGAATTAAACCCAGTAAGACACCTGCCTTCCTGTCCCCACCGCTCCCTCTGCCTCATCCTCACCGTCGCTGCAGCCAGCCTCTCCAGCTAAATTTCCTGCCAGGGAGGCTGGAAGCCCCTCTCTGAGGGTCTGATCTTTGTGACATTGCCTTTGACTGACAGCTTTGGGCAGCCTGGAAAACTCCAAAATCTCCATTTCAGGGTACTTTGTGGATGGTTGAGATGATTAATGACTTATTCCAAGATTTATTTTTTCCCTTTAACTTATCTTGAAACTGAATATGCATTTAAAATCCTTTTAGTATCCATAGTTCATTGGTTAGAACTTAGGTCTTTAAGTAGAAAAAAGTAGCTGCCCTAAAGTGCTGTCCTGGACCTTCAGAACGGTTCCTGTAAGAAGGTGACGCGGCATCTGACATTCTGTGGATGTGCTGAAGGACGTGGGACTCCTTCCGGCTACTGCGCAGGGCAGGGAGATGGGAAGTCTTCAGGGGCAGGGGGCCCTTGTGCATGGGCCAGAGAGGGACTGCGGCCCCACTGTGAGCGGCCTGGGTCCCGGGGGAGGCGTCTCCCACGGCGGGGCCGAGCCTCGGGCCCAGCCCCCTCTGGCCCTGCTGTGCGTGAAGACCCCTGGTGCTTTGTGACCGTGGGTGGCCTGGGCGTGCCTGGTGGGGACCTGCATGGAGAGCCCTCCTCTCTCCCCTTGCAGACAGCCGAGGCCCTGCCGCCCGACATGCAGCTCGAGCATGGGGCCATCCAGATCCAGTGAGGCCGGACGCCGCCTGGCCTCGACAGGACCTGAGACCGTGCCGCGGCTCCCTCAGCCCCGGCCCGGCCCCGCCCTGCTCTCCGTGCACCCCGGCCCCATGGTGACCGCGCGTGCTGTGTTGAAGGGCACCCGAAAGCCTCGTCCGCAGGAGGAAGCGCCTCAGTAAATAAAGGGTGATGCTCATGAAGCGCCGCCCCTGCCAGAAGACCCCTTTCTTTTGAGTCGCTCCGTTGGTGTCTAGTGGGGAGCACGGTGTGGATCGCATTAAGCACACGCGCAAACCAAGAACTGCAGTATTTTTCTCTGTCCAAACTGCTTTTTTAATTTGCTATGGTGTTTATAACAAAAAAGAAAATCGAAAAAAAAGTGGAGTAGCCAAAGCCTTTTGCTGTGTGCTCTGTTCGGTGTCACAAAAATAGGTATTTGCAAAAGACAACTAACGATTTTGATGGAAATATTGCTTACCTACTTTTCTAGGGGGAAATGCTCTCAGCACTGTAATTATGCATTTCTAATGAAATAAAAAGTATTTATGACCACAGCAGCCCTGTGTGATTTCCAGTTCAGAGGTGGTGCACCCGCAGTCAGCCTCACCCCGCTGGGGCCAGGGATCCCCCAGGGCCCTGCCGGCAGTGCTGCCGTGCTGGCGGCCGTCGCCAGTCGGATGTAACAGGGCCTGTGCGGTGGGGCACCCTGCTCTCACACAGGGTCCCTCGGGATAGTGCCAGTCCTGTGGACACTGCCACGGGGACACCGTTCTGTGTGTGACACTGGACTCTCCCAGCTCCAGGGAGTTACAGCTCTGTGGGTCCCTGGGGCACATCACACCCGTGGGGCAAAGCCTTGTCAGCCAAGAGTAGAAGAGAGAAGGCAGACGCCAGTTCCAAACAGAAGCCCCGGAGGTGATCGCTTCAGCAAGTGGCCAGCAGTGTCTGGCCCTCGCTGTTTGGCAGTGGCCTTGGTGGTTTGTCGAGTTCCCACGACAAAATCGTATCACTGGCTCAGCCTGTGCTCAGCGCCTTTCCTGGGAAGCATTTGGAGCTGCCGGCCGACGATCGCAGCCCTTTGCGCCACCCTGCCCTGGGAGTGCCCAGCCCCCTGCAGGGGGACAGCGTGTCCGCATCCTGGGCTCCCGTCCATTCTCCAGGATAAGGGGCTTGTGGTGTGTGTAAATGTGAAACAGCGGAATATTACTCACCCATAAAACAAAGAAATCCTACCATTTGTGACAACATGGGTGGACCTGGAGGGCACTATGCTCATTGAAATCAGAGAAAGACAAAACCGTATGATCTTATTTACATGCGGGAATCTAAAAACAACAACGAAAACGGCTCAGAAACAGAGGTCGGGTTAGTGGTTTCCCTGAGGCTGCAGCGGGGGCTTGGGAGAAGTGGAGGTGGAGGATCAACAGGCACAGTTTGCGGCTGTGAAGAGGTGGGGTGGGATCCCCAGCACTGCCGCGCGGCATCCGAGAGGCAGTGCGGGAGCAGGGGCCGAGCTCGCGTCGCAGGGAAGACATTCCTTGTTTCCTCCCCCTGCTATTGTATCTGTGCGGGAAGTGGATGCTGGCCGACCTGTGCGATCATTTCACAGTGTATGCAGATCCGACTTCATGCTGCACACCTTGCATGTAAGAGAGTTGATGTATGTCGATCACCATTCAGCAGAACTGGTGGGGGCAGCACACAGCCTTGTCTGGTTCCTGATCGTAAAGGGGACGCTCTCCACCCTCCGCGGCTGAGCCTGGCTTACCAGAGGGTGCTGCCCCACGTGCTCGCAGCGTCCCAGAGCAGCCCCACAGGCGGTGCCTTGGTCCAAGGAGCGCTATGGCCTCTCTCTCCAGAGCCCCCGGGTCTGGGGAGCCCCCTGAGTCTGGGGAGCCAGGCCTGGGCCCCCGGGGTTGGGGTGGGGAGCCAGCTGGGGGAGACAGCATGATGGGGCTCCGTGTGCGGGCTGATTGTGTTCAGAACAGCCGTCCTGAAGTCAGGGTATGTTCCTGCTCTTACGAGAGTCACCACAGGATCCCAAGGCGCAGTGGCCCATCGGAACCGAGGGCAGGGCTGCCGGCTCCTTGAGGGACACACACGTGTCTCCACCCTTAAACCTCATGGGCTGTAGGTTAAATCACTGGCCTCACTGCTGGGACCCAGGCGAGAGCCGTTGTGTGGCAGGTTTACTTGCTCTGACCGCGGTGAGCTCCTGCCCTGCCTCCCAGCGTCCTCTGCCGGCCTCTGGGTCTGTCCCGCCTTCGCCAGGCTCAGCGCTGAGGAGCCACGTGCATCGCAATGCTATTGGTCTTTGGTGCTCCGTCCAGCAGAGCTGCGGGTTGATCGCGGCAGAACGCTGAGAGTGAATCACTCAAGCACTGTTCATTAAGCCCAATAAGCGAAACAGAGAAACTGCTTCAGAGAAAGCCTAAGCTTAGTGGGTGGAATGAGAGAACAAGAAACACAGGCAACACAGACAGACAGACCATGGCTGCAGCCCCGATGTGGCGCAGTACCTTTGTTTTCATACTGCCTCTCTCGGACCTCAGCCAAGCGCTGTACTCATCTTTCCCTTCTCTGGGGGGCAGGCCAGAAGCAGGGGCGGTGTTTTCACACGTCCTCAAGGCCTCCCTGTTCTCAGAGTGAGGAGTCTTGGCTCGTCTTCGAGGACAGGATATGTTTCTGTGGGCAGAGAGCTTCCGAGGGCGGCACCGGCCGCCCCCAGGCCGGTGCTCCCCTGCTGCGCTCAGACCTGGGGAAGGTGCTTCCCATTCTGCCTGCGAACATGCGAGAAGACAAAGGCCGCCCCCAGCACTTCGGCACTTAGACTTAAGGCCCCAGACTCCCAGGCAGGGCCTCTCCCCTCACCCTGTGGGTGCTGTGCCGGCGTCCTGTCACCCTGGGGAGGAAAGGGTGGGCACCGCGGTGCCCGGGGTGTCTGGCTGCAGCTCTTGGTCTTCTTTCTCCTTGTCTTTCTGCAGGCGGCTCTGCCACCTCCTGCCTGGGGCGTGGGTCTGGCTGCCAAATTTTGAGGACAAGGGAGAGGGACTGAGGGGGGTCCCTGTCAGAACATGGGTCTCCCCGCATCCCTGGCCCGGCCCACCTCAGCCCCCATCACGGTCACACATGCCTGGGTCCCAGTGTTTCAAGAGGAGGGGCCCTTGGTCCTGGGAGTGCCCACCAGCCACCCGTGACCCACCCACCCTGCACGGCCCTGCCCTCCCAGCACTGTCTAGGCCACCCCTGCTTCCAGAAGCTCGAGGGGAGCCCCTCCAGTCTGTGTCACAGGTCCAGACCTTTCTTGGCACTCCTGCGTGGCTGCCAACCTGGGCTCTGGACAGTGCGGTGCTCCTGGTGCAGTGCTGGGCATCATGTGACATGGGTATTTCAGAAGTGCAGAATTAAACCCAGTAAGACACCTGCCTTCCTGTCCCCACCGCTCCCTCTGCCTCATCCTCACCGTCGCTGCAGCCAGCCTCTCCAGCTAAATTTCCTGCCAGGGAGGCTGGAAGCCCCTCTCTGAGGGTCTGATCTTTGTGACATTGCCTTTGACTGACAGCTTTGGGCAGCCTGGAAAACTCCAAAATCTCCATTTCAGGGTACTTTGTGGATGGTTGAGATGATTAATGACTTATTCCAAGATTTATTTTTTCCCTTTAACTTATCTTGAAACTGAATATGCATTTAAAATCCTTTTAGTATCCATAGTTCATTGGTTAGAACTTAGGTCTTTAAGTAGAAAAAAGTAGCTGCCCTAAAGTGCTGTCCTGGACCTTCAGAACGGTTCCTGTAAGAAGGTGACGCGGCATCTGACATTCTGTGGATGTGCTGAAGGACGTGGGACTCCTTCCGGCTACTGCGCAGGGCAGGGAGATGGGAAGTCTTCAGGGGCAGGGGGCCCTTGTGCATGGGCCAGAGAGGGACTGCGGCCCCACTGTGAGCGGCCTGGGTCCCGGGGGAGGCGTCTCCCACGGCGGGGCCGAGCCTCGGGCCCAGCCCCCTCTGGCCCTGCTGTGCGTGAAGACCCCTGGTGCTTTGTGACCGTGGGTGGCCTGGGCGTGCCTGGTGGGGACCTGCATGGAGAGCCCTCCTCTCTCCCCTTGCAGACAGCCGAGGCCCTGCCGCCCGACATGCAGCTCGAGCATGGGGCCATCCAGATCCAGTGAGGCCGGACGCCGCCTGGCCTCGACAGGACCTGAGACCGTGCCGCGGCTCCCTCAGCCCCGGCCCGGCCCCGCCCTGCTCTCCGTGCACCCCGGCCCCATGGTGACCGCGCGTGCTGTGTTGAAGGGCACCCGAAAGCCTCGTCCGCAGGAGGAAGCGCCTCAGTAAATAAAGGGTGATGCTCATGAAGCGCCGCCCCTGCCAGAAGACCCCTTTCTTTTGAGTCGCTCCGTTGGTGTCTAGTGGGGAGCACGGTGTGGATCGCATTAAGCACACGCGCAAACCAAGAACTGCAGTATTTTTCTCTGTCCAAACTGCTTTTTTAATTTGCTATGGTGTTTATAACAAAAAAGAAAATCGAAAAAAAAGTGGAGTAGCCAAAGCCTTTTGCTGTGTGCTCTGTTCGGTGTCACAAAAATAGGTATTTGCAAAAGACAACTAACGATTTTGATGGAAATATTGCTTACCTACTTTTCTAGGGGGAAATGCTCTCAGCACTGTAATTATGCATTTCTAATGAAATAAAAAGTATTTATGACCACAGCAGCCCTGTGTGATTTCCAGTTCAGAGGTGGTGCACCCGCAGTCAGCCTCACCCCGCTGGGGCCAGGGATCCCCCAGGGCCCTGCCGGCAGTGCTGCCGTGCTGGCGGCCGTCGCCAGTCGGATGTAACAGGGCCTGTGCGGTGGGGCACCCTGCTCTCACACAGGGTCCCTCGGGATAGTGCCAGTCCTGTGGACACTGCCACGGGGACACCGTTCTGTGTGTGACACTGGACTCTCCCAGCTCCAGGGAGTTACAGCTCTGTGGGTCCCTGGGGCACATCACACCCGTGGGGCAAAGCCTTGTCAGCCAAGAGTAGAAGAGAGAAGGCAGACGCCAGTTCCAAACAGAAGCCCCGGAGGTGATCGCTTCAGCAAGTGGCCAGCAGTGTCTGGCCCTCGCTGTTTGGCAGTGGCCTTGGTGGTTTGTCGAGTTCCCACGACAAAATCGTATCACTGGCTCAGCCTGTGCTCAGCGCCTTTCCTGGGAAGCATTTGGAGCTGCCGGCCGACGATCGCAGCCCTTTGCGCCACCCTGCCCTGGGAGTGCCCAGCCCCCTGCAGGGGGACAGCGTGTCCGCATCCTGGGCTCCCGTCCATTCTCCAGGATAAGGGGCTTGTGGTGTGTGTAAATGTGAAACAGCGGAATATTACTCACCCATAAAACAAAGAAATCCTACCATTTGTGACAACATGGGTGGACCTGGAGGGCACTATGCTCATTGAAATCAGAGAAAGACAAAACCGTATGATCTTATTTACATGCGGGAATCTAAAAACAACAACGAAAACGGCTCAGAAACAGAGGTCGGGTTAGTGGTTTCCCTGAGGCTGCAGCG